TATAATCATTTGTATTTCAATCAGTAATATTTAACTCAAAATAGGAACGTGCGTTTTCTTAAATAATTCTTATAAAACAATGAAATTAACTGTGTTGCAGTTATATATTTTATGTCATCATTTGTTCCAGTCATAAATTCATCATTGCATTTCGGTTTTAAAATTTATCATGAGACAGGCAAAGTTTCAAAATTACGTATTTACCATATAAAATTTTGTTTTAACAACACATCTGTTTAATGTTTGTTATGCATGTTTTGCTGGAACACATGTATTACCTATACAATTAAAATTGTCTTTACTCTTTTTGTCCCATTTTCCTGTGGCTCTGAAGATCTTTATTGCATGTTCATTGAATATTAGCTTTCATTTCGTCTATATAATATAATTAAATTTATGTAATTAATTTAATTTAATATTTATTAATGTCTATCTGTATTTCTGAATTTGAACGCCACTCCTACGTTTATGTCAATATTGCAAGAAAAGGAAAATACGGAATCACAAATCGGGCCCTGAATTTAGAAACGGGGAAATAAAATAAGTCGTCAAAGATGCAAATATTTAGGTACTAGAAGAAAAACAGTGTTAAATCGAAAATTATCACAAAGGATCGTATTTGAATCTCAAAAGTTTTGTCAAAGATATAAAACAAGATTGTTATACATATTGGGAAGACGACGTGACGACGAAACGTTGTTGTTCTGTTGTAGAAAATATGTTACCAATCACTTACTTTGTAACGCGATATTGGACCTGATGAAACTTTGCAAGAAGTAAATCAAAGCGTGCGTAGTACACAAATGTATGCGTATCCTGCATGTGTGTAGAAAATTGTCGAAAAATTAAACCGAGGAATGCACAACAAAAATATATCCGAACCTTGGTTTCTTCTTAATTCTCACAAGTTCAGCCAATATTCTCAACATTTCCTTATCATTCACTGTTCGCCATAGGTAAGCTAGAATGCGATTAGCTTAAATTTTAAGGAATAAAACAGGTAAACTACTCTATGTTTAATTGAGTGGCTTCCCTAAATTGTCATTCCAAATATTAAAGATGAAACATTTCTAACTTTGAGTAAATGTGAAATTATAACAAACATGGAAGATGAGCGCTTACAACTTAATCTGAACAATGTTAAATCCTAAAATATAATAATGATAGAATAAGTTTAACATAATGAAAGCTGAAAACAGTTGCCTGTGTCTGTTATCTGTAATCTCTTTAAAATAGTCGTGCAATTATTCGTCTTATGTCGTATACTAAGCACACAAACCTCGTATGTTATCATGTGATGATCGTATTGTTGCAATTAGCGCCAGTTAAAGAGGTAGAAGCGTCCGGACTGTTTAAGTTGAAGGTGTGGTAAATTGAAGTTGGACAACCCTGATATAAAAGGAGGTATGATATTTTTTATATATTTAATTATTTAGTGCATTGCTGTAATGAACTGATTTTCTCAATGTTTGCCAGACTTACAATTTTTTTAGCGCATTATGACTTATTGTAAATTCTGATGTCACATGATTAGTTTAAGGCTGAAATAATTTGAAATTTATTTGTTTTATAATTTGTGGTTTATGCAAATTCCTGTTCATTATAAATGTATGTTATTTTCTGGAAAAAATCCACTTCTTTTAAAGTAAAGATTTAATTATGAGCATTAAGTATTAACAATTTAACTGTATTAAAATCCTAACGTTTATACGCACCAAAACGTTATGATTCAAATTAATCAAACTTGGCTATAAAGCAAATGTCTGTACATATTTTTTTTAGATACTCCCTAATCCTTTTAAATAGATTTAATTTGCTAATGGACAATTTAATATTAGTTTCGTGCATAAACTTAATTAGCAGAGTACATCGTAATTACAAGTACTCGTGACTCTTCCGTCTAATTACTGCTTTTTAAATTTCAACCTCGTTTAGATTTTTCAATTGCCGAATAATTTGGTGTTTCGATTCAGAACTATGACCATGGGAATTATTTGAATTGTTGGGAAACTAAAAAACTGAAAAGCAATTAAATCAGTTTTGGTTATATTTTCCGTTACTTTGCCCTGACGGTTATAATCCAATTTAAGCGCCCGCATTAAAAATCACGATGGAAAATTCAGATACCTAACTTATCACATGATCAGTTAGCGTTATTTATCAAATCATAGGACAGAATTCAAATCATGTGCGGTAACGGCCTCAAGGTGAGCACAATATCATTCAAACGGGTAATTTAGATTAAAAAATCAATTTTACAGCACTTTTTATTAGGCCTTGTTAATAAATGAATTTGTTAATGCTTGCGTTAACGTACTTTAGCATAATTATCCATTATTTCAATCACCTTTAACATTCTTCATCTCGGATAGCAATGCATTGTTATATAACTGTTGTTTAAGGAATATTGCTACATTAACATGTTTTATTGATTCAAAATGTTACACAAAAAAAGCAATATCTAATATTCTGTATGTAGCTAATTAGCAAAGAAAGAATGTGTAAACTTCTGCATTGAAAATAACAGATGCAGTCCTGCAGCAACGGGGGTTTGCAAAAAGGGAACAACTCACGCTAGGGATGGTCAGTATTTAACGTAACCGCTAAAATAACAGTGTTCCAGACCTGCAACCTGAAGCCGCAGTTACACTTTGCCGATTTAACCGGTTGTTTTTGGAACCGTCTTATAACCCGAATAAGTGGTTCGCACCAACACAGAGCCATCTATCCAGTTCATACACTTTGCCAATTTAACCGGTTGTTTTTGGAACCCCTTTATAAACCCGAAAAAGTGGTTCGCACTAGTTCATATTTTTTTCGAAAAAAAAAAATATATTTTTCAAAGGGAGCGGCTATCGTTAACGAGCGAAGAAATAGACTTAGTAAAAAACATATGTAAAAAAAAATATTTTTAAACGTTAATTCTTTTGTAAATGAAAATTAGCTTTTTAAACATTTTCGCATGCAAAACGTGTATGTATTTTATTTAAACCAATCGATTTTATTATCAGGGTTTTTCCTTTAACTAGTTACTATGACCCATGTTAGTTGACCCCAGTTAGACCCATGTTTTGTTTTTAGAATATATTATTTTTAGTTTACCAAAGCTAATAATTATTTTTTTAATAAACTAAATCATTATTTATCATGACTATTTCTACCATCATCATCATTGCGATTTTTTGTTATTTTTTTATGAAGGCTTTAAAAGTTTTATGACAATTAAAAAAGTTATATTACAAAATAGTTCCACTTTTTCGTTCCACCTAGAAAACGGTTGTTCGTAGCGACTTTTGATAAGATACCTTTTTTACGTACAAATGCTGGTGGAATTGATTTTCTGGCTATACAAACATGCACCAAAAAGTTATGACTCTTCCAAAGAGAAAAAGGCTTGTAGACAACGCCCTCAACATGCAATCACAAAGTTAAAGTTAAAGAAAAATTTAAGTTACAAAACCGACAAGCATCATGTTTCGTTCAAGTATCGAAATTATTGCAAACATTACTTAGGAAGAACCAAAATGAAAATTAATCTTTTAAGGCCCTGTAGCTCGATAAGTAAGGCCTAGTGGACCCATCGCAGATTGACTTTTTATATAAAAATTACCTGAGAAATCGCCCTGTGAAACAGGACTTACTAGAAAACACCCACATAATAAAAGGGATAAAATTCCATCGATCAATGGTAGCTGAAGGAAACATTCGAAAATTTTCAATCCATCTGAAATAAAACTGTATTGGAAACCCCAACTCGAACTGTAATGACGGACAAGAAAGTTACAATTAGTTTTAAAAAGAAACAAGCTGGGAAAAATCACTACTTTAAAAATTACAGGAAACTCAAAAGCATCAAAAGTAGACTTTCATTGTGCAAAAGAATAATCGGCCGATTGCAGAAAATGAATTCCAGAAATAACGCTGCAAAATTAAATTACAGAAGCGCTCACCAAAAGCCACTAGAAAATCGCGCTACAAGAAATGTAAAAAATGTTTTTTATGTGTAAAGAGTTTTCGAACATGAGAAAATACACCTTAATGATTTTTTTGTTCATGTAACCAGTGGATCACGTGAAAATAATGACTCAATTTGAACAGTAGAATTATATTGATTAATTTGAAAGTTTGCTTAAAAAAAATTATTTCCCAATTAATACAAACAATATATTTTAGTTGTAACCGAACATTAATTTATGACTCGTATATCTTAAGACTGACTAAGATTGACTGTAGAGTATCTCTAGACTGAATTTTTATGACTCTTGATCAAACATCTAATTACTTAATGCTCGTTTCTGCTGTGGCTTCCTTTATAGTTAAATCATGCTTTTTTTATAAGGATAGTCGGCATAAGTGACCAAATGATTGTAGACAAATTTTTGAGGCAATTTAAGTAAATCCAAGACTGAGAAACTTAGATTTTGTTGAGAGTTCAGACTTTGGTGATAAAGATGCCAGAAAATAATGTTCAAGATGTAGAACAAGCAACGTACACACCCGACAAAAAAGCGACTAATATGAAGTATTTTCACGAAAAATGCTTTCATGCAAAACGAAACGATATTTGGAATCGGAGATACCAAGCAAAAGCTTAACAGTATTTTGGTATCATTAGAACGAATACGACAACTAGACTTAACTGCACCCGAAGTGTTACTTAAATAAATAAGATAAAGTGCCTATATCCGTAAAACCCTTAATTCTACATTATATTAATAATTATTCAGCAATCAAAGTATAACATATGTTGCAATTCTATGGAAAATAATAGAAAAAATAAAATAATTATTTCAAAAGTTATATATTTTCTAAATGTAATGTTATAGTTCATAGCTAACAGTGCTATAAATTATTTGAAAACGTGTGCGAGATACCTGAAGAAAATTATGGAAGATAAAAAACTGACCCTTGAAATCTAGTTCTCTTTTACACCATTTTCTTGCAATGGCCACCTGCTTCAAATAAGCCCACATTATTTTATATATTTTTTTTGTTTTCAGGTTTTCTCATTTAATTTGCCAAAATGGGGGCAATGTTCCGCAGCGAGCAAATGGCTCTGGCCCAGCTATTCATCCAACCAGAGGCTGGGTATTCTGCCATATCCGAGATCGGTGAAGTTGGATGTGTACAGTTTCGGGATGTAAGTTAGAGGGCAATTTAAATATCAATAATGGACTGAAATATGGATTTCGATCTTCTTTTCAGTTGAACAAAGATGTTAACATGTTCCAAAGGAAATTCGTCAGTGAGGTGAGGAGATGCGATGAATTGGAAAGGAAGTTACGATTCATTGAGTCTGAAGTCAGGAAAGACAATGTGAGGATTCCTGATGTTGTCGATTTTCCCAAAGCCCCCAATCCGAGAGAAAGCATTGACTTGGAGGTGAGTGGAACTAACTTTCGTATTTATTTGTCGCAGTTTTAATTTGATGCGATAAATATGCGATCAGATATGAGAAAAAGTTAAGCTGCCGAACATTATACTGTTAATTTATTACACAGGTCTGAGAACGTTCTGATAATACTTTAGAAAAATCACATGCCAATGAACCAAAAAGCGTGGTTTCGACATTTATAATCGTTGCCACACTTATACTTAATCCCGTTAAATTAAATACAGATTAAGAAGCAATTGTATTAACTCGGCTAAAATAAGCCAGATAACTGGAAAGCGTAAAGATTTTCAAAACGGTGTGGCGTTTGCAATGTCATGGGTTAGTTGAAGAAAGTATACATGCTATTTTCTGATCAAGTAAAGTATTTTAAGGGCGTCTTTAGTAGATTTTAAGCTCTAAAAATTTGTTTATGGTTTAATAATAGATTGAAAGATTATTTTCACTTTCATTAATTTAGCAACTAAAGTAGTCATATTTAAATAGTAGATATATGATTCTCATTACTAATTCAAGACTCATTCTCTGTTTTCGAAAACATCTTGTGCAGCTAATGAATAAGCTGGTTGTTTCATACCTTTGGGTCTAATAACTTCCATTCCTGCCGAATATTAATTTCATTATCAATTTTATTATCCGTATGAAACAAGCATTGTTTTGCAGCTCAATGCCAGCCAGTCAGAATGAGATGATGATTTTACTTCTTGATATTTTATCTTTCAATAACATTGAAATTTCATAGCAAACGAGACAAATGGAAGCGGATACTATGGATCATATTATCGCGAAACAATCGACTTGTTTATAGCTTAATCAGGCTGCACTTCCTGCAGTTACAGCTTGTTGAATTTGTATTCGCTTAAGCTTCACAGCATTTCGAAGAATGCAACTGTTCAGGAAATATTTCAATTCATCAAAATTTATAAACATAACGCAATAATCAGTAAACATGACAATAATAATTATGTTATTTTTCAGGCTAAAGTTGAAAAAACCGAAGGAGAAATTAAGGAAATGACCGAAAATTCCGTGAATTTAAAATCCAATTACTTGGAGCTTACTGAATTAAGACACGTTCTGGAGAAAACACAGCAGTTCTTCAGCGATCAAGATGAAGCAAATGGATACGAATCAGCTCACAAGGTAAAATACATGAATTTTCGTATCAATGTTTGTTCCTGTATCTGTACAGAGGAATATTTTTTTAAACAACTTAATGAACCAGTATTTAATTTTCTATTGTTCTCTAAAAATTATTGTTATTATTTTATATTATTTTGCACTCATTTTTGCAAATTTAATGTAATTTCATTAAATTAAAATATATTTAGGCCCTTATCACCGACGACCATAATGCCTCTATTAGAGGACATCTGGGTTTCGTTGCTGGAGTTATCAACAGGGAAAGAGTGCCCGGTTTTGAGAGAATGCTATGGAGAATTTCCAGAGGAAATGTTTTCCTCAGAAGGGCCGCAATCGAAAAGCCACTTGAAGATCCGCAAACAGTGAGTTTATCGACAAACGATTTTTAACTACATGCTCAGCTCTTTGCTGATTTTTTTCAGGGAAATGAACATTTTAAAACCGTGTTTGTTGCATTCTTCCAAGGAGAACAACTCAAGTCGAGAATTAAGAAAGTCTGTGTTGGGTTTCACGCATCTCTCTACCCGTGCCCAAGTACGCATAAAGAAAGAGTGGATATGCTTCAAGAAGTGAAAACTCGATTGGAGGATTTGCAAATGGTGCTCAATCAAACTGAGGATCACCGACAAAGAGTATTGGTAAGTCAATGTTAACTGTAGTATGTATAGCATAACAAATCATTTTTTCCAAGTAAGGCAAAAATGTCTACCTTGATGTGTTCTACATCTTCTTTCTCGAAAGCATTATATAATATATTTTCACTGCAAATCATCTTGAATTAAACAAAAACAGAGCAAAAGTAAATTTTTTTATATTGTTTCAGATGGGCGTAGCCAAAGAGCTTCAGAATTGGAGCGTCATGGTGTGCAAAATGAAAGCAATCTATCATACATTAAATTTGTTTAATATGGACGTGACCAAGAAGTGCCTTATTGGAGAATGCTGGGTGCCTTCTAATGACATATCAACCGTCCAAAAAGCCTTGGGTGATGGCTCTGTAGGTTCAAATTACGCAAACGTGTTCCAGAATAAGAGGTCTTGTTGTTTTAGACTGCCAGTGGAAGCTCCATTCCATCTTTTCTCAACATTATCGACACTAGTGAAATGCCACCGACCTTTAACAGAACCAACAAATTCACTAGAGGGTTCCAGAACTTGATCGACGTCTATGGAATGGCCAGTTACCGCGAATGCAATCCAGGTTTGTAATTCTATAATTTCTAGAAATTTTAACGTGATTCCACTGCGTTTCCAGCTCTTTACACCATCATAACATTTCCTTTCTTGTTTGCGGTCATGTTCGGAGACAGTGGTCATGCCATCATCATGGCAGCTTTTGGTTTGTGGCTCATCTTAGCAGAGAAGAAAATTGCTGCTCAAAAAGGCAAAAGTGAAATTTTCAACATATTTTTTGGCGGCCGGTATATTATACTGTTGATGGGGCTTTTCTCATGTTACACAGGGTAAGTCAAATGTGCCGATACAAAAAGCAACTGATACATGTATAGGTAGATCATATGGGTTTATGTACTGTATTTTTTTGTATTTTAGGCTAGTCTACAACGATATTTTCTCAAAATCGATAAATATATTCGGCACTTCCTGGAGGGTCAATGCAACCACTTTACCACCAAATTTCACAGTGCATACTTCTAGTGATAGTACTGTTGAACTGCAGCTCAATCCGCGCGAAAACTACCAGGGGAGTCCATATTTTATTGGTTTAGATCCCGTATGGCAGGTAATTTAATCAAATTAGTTTCTTGATTGAGATGATGCAACACAGCAATTTTTTGTCTAGGTATCAAAAAACAAGATCATCTTCTTGAACTCTTATAAAATGAAATTATCCATTGTCATTGCCGTCGTTCATATGATCTTTGGCGTGACCGTTAGCACCTTCAACTTTGTGTGAGTATTAACAATTCCACTTAACTCATGAACATAAATCAACTGCATATCGTAAACATTTCAGGCATTTCCGTAAGCGTGCCAGTTTACTACTTGAGTTTCTGCCTCAAATTCTGCTGCTCTGTTTCTTGTTCTTGTGGATGGTTGTGATGATCTTTATAAAATGGATAAAGTATGACGGCTCATTGGACGGAATAGGTAATTTTAGAGTTTCGAGCAGGAAATTTGTTTTCTTGACTGTTTTTATTTTAAATCTTTAGATACGAAGCGTGGATCATCATGTGCTCCGTCGGTACTGATATACTTCATTAATATGATGTTATTCAGTGGTACCACATCTGCGACTTCCGATTGCGATACTTACATGTTTGATTCTCAACCTTTAGTTCAATACATTTTGATCCTAGGAGCTCTGATTTGCATACCCTGGATGCTCTTAGGAAAACCAATCTATATCATTTGTACTCGAAAGGGCGCAAAAAAAGAAATTGCACATGTAAGTATACGTTTTACGAGTTTACATGTTTGTACTAACATCATCGAACGGGATTTATTTGCAATATCAAATTATTATCACTTCATAAGGTTTATTTGTTATCCATTCATAGAAGTTGACATCAATTGTAAGCTGCACAGGTTGATTAACAATCAGCTTTAGTATTCCGGAGGAACATTTTACACACTTTTAAATGTGTTATACAGTTCGCCCGTATTAGTGAAAAAATCAGTTCATTGTTGGCACAACAGCCATATTTACAGAATCATCTCATTGCTTTAGACATGATTAAAGAGCATTGAAGCGCCTCATAATTTTAATTTTACAATTTCGGCAAATTTGATGACGTTTTCTGGAAGACGATTTTTGTAGTTTAGGCTTGAATCTACTAAAAAATAGTTTTCTCGTTACTTAATCATACATCTACAAGTTCAGAGTTGTGCGTTCAGTAAAGAAGAGTGCGCTCTAAAAGTCGTCAACATTTCTTCAAACTTTCAAAAATTCATTAAAATCCTGAATTTCGCGCGCTTCGTAAATGTTGATGTCAAAATAAACAGTTTTACGAAACAGCCGACTGTTCAATACAAAATGCTAACTTCCAAAATAAAGCCAGTATAAACTTGACAAATTAACATTATGTAGAAGAAGCTTTCTTAATGAAATTTTGGCGTAAACTTGTACCTAAGTGTCTGATATTCAAATTTTGTGCGACTTTGTGACAAAACTGCCATAATTTATTCCCGCACGTTGTTATACCCGAACCGAGTTTTCAATTCTCTATAGAATGATATAAAAACGAACTATGTGGCTCAAATGGTTCTTGAGTAGTGTCGAAAAAAGGGGGATCGTGTCGATTGCGCAATTAAAAAAAAATAAGCCAAACTAAAACTTGGAATCAATGGTTTAATGGGAACTAAATCCACACTACCAGTAAGCGGATGCTTCTTTAATTACGCGGTTCATTAGAGAAAAGCTCCAGAGGAGCTGGATGTGAAAATATAAAGTCGCTCAAAATATTCCCAAAGTTTAAAAATTAACTACGACAGAAACAATGCCAAATCGATACCATATCCACCCTACGACTCAGTTGATGAATATGAGAATAGTGCGACATCTACATCTCAACCATGGGCAAAGTAATGCTAAACTTACCGCAAGCTGCGTAGTGCCTGGAAAGAAAGAAGAAAATGTGTTTAGTACAGCAGAAAATCTGTCCAAAGCCAACCTGATTTGAAATTAACAAAGTAAATATAAATATAGAGAATCCATAAAACTTGCCGGAAAACTAAACTCAGTTCAAGCTCAAAGATTTATAAATAAGAGATCATTCTTACCAGCTTACTGCAAGTTGGTTCCCCATCCTGCCTTTTTTTGCCCATTAATCTCCTAAAAGTTCATTACTCTACACAATGAAAATCCACTTCGAATGGAAAACTGCAATAGGTAGAACAAACTACCGCACTTGCAAAGGCCCGCAATATTTCCCATCGAAGATCGCGATTCACCCGACACAAATGAATATCGACCGATTTCGTCCAAGATCGGTAGAAAACTGAATATGTTTTCACACCTTAAAAAAAGACACCGAATTACAGAATAAGCATGATGATATAATAATTTTCTTGTTCGCCCTTTTCATGATTCATTGGTTCCAGTTTGTTTATAGTTGACATTGTTGTAGAAAGTGTCTGTTCGCATGGCCATGTTTTCAAGCGCAAATTTCACGTTGCAACTTAATAAATTTTGCAAGAAATTTAATTTTTTATGCGTTAACATACAGGTTCGACAAAGAGGTTAAAATAAAAGCGTCATTCAAAGTGCGACGCAGTGAGACGCGATGAGTCATAACTCATTATCGCACAGAGACAATATCTGTACTATTACTACTACTACTACGAAAAGTATTTTAATAGGAGATCTGTAGAAATGGCCTTAGAAGATGCCCATATTTTTGGGAAACCCTGTCTATATCTTCACTTTACTTATAAAATCTCGCTGCATAGTGAAAAATTCCTACCAACTCTTCGTGTATATTAAATGTTTTATTTGCGAATAGTTTTGCATTTTATCGATTAAAAACGCGACCCGAATCTCAACTCGGATTGCGCCTTAATTAACAGCTCTTAAAAACAAAAAAATTGCATCTAGGAAACTGAAACGAATAGTCATTATATCGGTTTGGATAACTCGATTTGCAAGTTGTCATAGAAAATCAATTAAATGGTAAAATGTGCAGGTACGAAGTAACGGAGATGTTATCCCAAACTTGGAAATGACTGAAGTCTCGACAAACGGTTCCGGTGCAACCTTAGAGGCAGGTCAAACGATTAAACACGAAGAAGAGGAAGAGGAGGAGGAACCAATGTCGGAGATTTGGGTGCACCAAGCTATTCATACCATTGAGTATGTGCTCAGTACCATTTCCCACACCGCTTCATACCTTCGATTATGGGCTCTATCGCTTGCCCATGCGCGTAAGTAAATCGTTTCGAAGTGTTAATGTTAAGTTTTAGACGATACTTCCGTTTTTAGAACTCTCCGAAGTATTATGGAACATGGTCTTCCAAATGGGCTTGACTGTGGAAGGATACATAGGAGTTGTATACATTTACGTATTCTTTGCAGTATGGGCGCTGTTCACTTTAGCAATTTTGGTGCTGATGGAAGGGTTGTCTGCGTTCTTGCACACTCTTCGTCTGCATTGGGTTGAATTCATGTCGAAGTTTTATGCTGGGCAAGGGTATCCTTTTGAGCCCTTCAGTTTTAAGAAGATCCTCGACGAGGAAGAGGAAGGGGCCGAATAGGGGCGGGACCAACACTATTATTATCATCAATTGCCTGGTGTAAACGGCATTCTATTGTTTTACTTTTGGGGATTTAATCAGGTTTACACAGATCGTTATTGTTTATCAGGCAAACTGGAAATAGCAAATCTTAGAAATACATTGTATTGACTGTTTGAAATGAAGTTTTATTAAGCCTAGTACCCAATTTGCAGTTTTAATTTCGTTTTATGTCAGAAATGTTATAAAAGTCGGTTTAGAATCGACAGCTCAAAATATATTGAGTACAATGTAGTATTAACCTCGTCAAAGAGTCATGCTTATTTTTCGGTCATGCATAAGTTATATAATGCGATTGCAACAGCTAATTTTCCACCCGACCCTCGTTGGCGTTGCACAAATATGCAGATTATTTCAAACGATTGCGGTTAATTTTCAAGTCTTACTATAAGCGGCGGCGTACAATTACGAAGCTAAGCTCAGACCAGGCAGAAAATGTTCTTTGAAATGCCGAAAATTGAGCGTTTGCATTGAAAAATAATTTTTTGCACAGTGAAGGCAAATTCAAAATGGAGAAATTGTTTTTAAATTAGTGGGTAATGAAAAACGTTAGGATGTTGGCGAAATTAGGAAATATTTTGAACTAAAATGTTAGGGTAGTAATTACGAAGGAATATTTTTTTACTTTACACCCCTGACTAAAATGTGCAACTATAAACCCTAAAAAAAATTTCGTTCCAAATTAATTAATAAATTCAGCAAAAACCGTTGCAAAGAACATTATTCAAAGATCTTTCTTTCAACGAATTCTATTCCTCCGCAGAAGCAAGTAGTTTTTGGATACGTGTCCTACAACTCTTATATTTTGATTCCTATATCATTTCTAGTTTCTGTTTTACTTAATTTTTTGTTATATTTAAATCACAAAGACTACTTATTGTTCAATTTAGAACAGATTATATAGTTCTCATGGGGTCAAATTAAAAATGTCTGTTTAGTTTATAACTTCGCTATTAGTAGTCATCGAACCCGCCACTTAACAAAAACATCGATTTAAATCACTGAATGATTTTTTTCTATTTAAATTTTGTAAGGATAATTCAAACATCGCAGTTTATTTCTTTATAAAATACATAAAAAAGCAATGGAGCTAATTAGTATTGTCCAAATTATGAAAAAATCATGATCATTGTAAAGTTATGTTTTAAAATGATTAATTTTTTACTAAAAAAGAGAAACGATCATGTCCCATCATCTTTAAATTAAACTAACAGATATAAAGCTCTATCTCCATTTATCTGACTGTTATCGCTAAGGCTCTCTCCATACCAGCACTGAAAAAGAGCGCAGATTTATATCTAACATTTATATGTAGATTAGTCGCATCGTTTGCCTTTCATCCCGATCTGGGTGAAATCACTGAATATATTCATTTGCGATAAAAATGCGTTTTTGATGTTTTTATTAAATTTATTAAATGTTCTTCAAGGTTCTTCTAATCTAAATTCATATCGTCTTTCTAAAAATATCATTTACCTTTAACAAGGCCGTAGCTCTACTGTTTTATGAACTTTTTCACCAGAAACATTTCCCCTAAAATCAAGCAGCGATTTAAGATCCAAAAATTATTGTAACCA